ACGAGAGAGAAAAAATAATAACCGTAACAGAAATAACTGGGCACGAACAGCGTATAAACAGTGCGAAGCAAATGGGCAACAATAACCATGCGCAATGGAGAAATAAAACAAACGAACGAAGCTTATGCAAATGAAAGTATGTAAATGAATAATTAGCAATTTTGAACTGCTTACAAAATACAACAATTATTTTGTTTCAAGCCATATTCATAATGGCTGCCGCCCTATAGTTAGTATATTGGTAATTTATCGCATTTAATTTATTATCACTTGTGACTGTTTCTCTTTACATCGTAAATATCGGTAAATTAATCGCATTCAATTTATTATCTCTTGTATTGTACTGACCTCTAGTGCAGTTTGATATGTATTCCTGCTAGATTTGTGTGCCAAAATGAATTTTATTGGCTTATTTTATTAATTTTAATGTGCTGATTTCAAAAATGTTGAGTGCCATTTTTCCAGCAATGTCTTGGGCCGCCATTTTGAATTTCAAATTTTTAAATAGAAGAATAAATGAATGAAACTATTTTTTTTAAACATATGAGTTACTGCCTCATCAGAGAATGACATTATCAAATATTAACACTGTTAAAAAGCTTGTTTAAAATTTAACAATCACTGTTTACTATATAAACCCACCAGCTATCTGTAAATTTTATATACGTTAGTTGACATTTACAGAATTTTTCTACAGACAGTTGTTGGTTCATATGACTATTCCAATTCAAGTCAATGTCTATAAACATTTAGGATCTACATGGCCCACTGCTTATCTAGTCACTGTTTTCTTCTTCATCTTCTTCACTGGACTGGTGGGGTCGCTATGCCTCTTCTATCTCCTATAGAGGGGTGTCATCATCTTAAACCAACTTGCAGCTACAAAAGTTTTCCACCGTTTTATGTGTCTTTTACCTCCGGTATCTTTCATAAAAGAAATTGAAACGCTTTTTCTTGATTTTCTGTGGCAAGGACGCCATTGGATCCCAGCCAGTGTCTTCTACCTCCCATTAAAGAATGGTGGTCATGGTCTTGTACATATGTCTAGCCGTCTTAAAGCCTTCCGAATCCAATATTTGCAGCGATATTTGTATTCTGGAGTTAACCATCCATGCTTTTCATTTACAGATTACGTTCTTAAACAAATTTATAATTTTAACTACAGCAAACAGCTATTTATTACTAATCTCCCCGATTTACCTCACACTGAAAATAGGTCATTTTGTCATAACTTGTTGTCAGCATGGCTTGGTCTAAAACATATACGTAAAGATGGACCAGTTCATATTAATGCTATCTGTGATGAACCAATCATACTTAATGATAGAATAAATTATTTTACTGGAGACGAAACACTGTTCATGCAGAAATTTGTTGATGCTGGCATAACAACAAATGGGGATCTGATTCACAATAGAGAATGTCGGTGGTTAACAGTAGCTGATATAAAAGACAGTGTCACAATCCACTCAACACGTCTCCGAGAAAAAATACTGTTTGACCTAAAACGGTCAATTCCAGATGACATCATAACCCCAATTAATGCATACTTGGACAGCGGATGCACGCCCACCGAACTAACAGCTCCATATGCTCTTGACCTAGTATTTGATAATGATGTTACAGCTTTTAATATCCCATTATACAAACGAAATAAAGGTGAAGTATATAAATTGATAACAAGATCACAACTTCACAGTAAAATGCCCAATTATATTGACACCATATGGAGGGATCTCCTCTCACTTCCTGATATAATAAAGCCCAACTTTAAACTGTGTTATCTACCACCCATAACAAAACGGGAAGGTGACCTTTATTGGCGTATCATTCATGGTTCCTATACAACTGGCCACTATTTGCAGTCATGTAATTATCGTAAAACAAATAACTGCTTCTTCTGCCAAAACCATGATGACTTGCTTCATATTTTTTCCAGTGCCCTAGTTTAAATGCATTGCTCAAAGTTGTTAATGATCTCTGTGGATGTCTCTTTAATGATGACCTTCGAATACCTCACTGGTGGTACATACTTGGGCCACCATTTCTAAAGAAAACCTCCTCAGGCATGGAAAAGCGACTCCATGCATTGACCAATTATATCTTTGCAATGGCTAAAATAGCAACACATTTATCACGTCGCAGCGCATTAACTGAAGATGATATAACAGACCCAACTGCCATATTTAAGCAGAGTATAAGATATAGACTAAATGGAGAACATCTATATTATAGTTTGATAAACAACGTGGATGTTTCAACAAGAAATGGTGCCTGAAAAAAGCATTAGCCCATGTGGAGAATGGTGAATTGGTGTACTCCGAATTAATTCGCGAGTGATAATGTGAACTTTTTAAAATATTTTTTATGCTTTATATCGCAAGTTATCGTTAATATCGTTATCGTTAATTAACGCTTTTTAAACATACTAATGTAATTTAGATTTTCAAAGATATTAAATGGTACTTTGAAAAATTAAAATCTTCTTCACTTGTCACATTGTAATCTATTGTGTTACCACAGTCACTGCATTTACAAAGTGGTGTACATGGCAAGTTGTTTTTCTGACAGAAACAGTTGGCACTGGCACATTTGCCACGACATCACACTTGACAAGTTCAACAACTTCTTGGGGTGGAGGCAAATCAAGACATTTCTGAGGGGAAATTGTTCCATCTGATGTTTTCTCTTATCCATTGCCATTCAGCTGTGGTATGTGCGGTCGTGGCTTTTTGTATCTTTTACCAATTATGGATATGAGATTGGCTCTCTGAATGTGTGGTTTCAGTGCTGGTTGGTGGCAACTTTTCTCCTTCAAAGTTTCTGGATTTAAACAGTTCCCATCTTAGTTCATTAACTGTTTTGGATTTGCTGTTCTTGGCATACACTGTGGTCACAAAGCTTTCAAGCACATTTAACATTCCATCGAAGTCGAAGCTATCCTCACCAAATTGCTGGAAAACATCAACTATATCACAACTAGATTCAAGGCTCAGATAATGCTTTATCCACCTACTCTTAGATATATCGGCAAATTTTCCTCCCCAATCAACACCAGTAAATGCATGGAGGCCCAGTAGTCCTTTACTTTTCTCACTTCCAACTGCTGAACATCTTGCACATATGTCAATCGTACGCTTCGTTTTCCTTTTTCCGGAGATGAAATGAAGCTCGCCTGGAATGTTGTTAGACGAAAACAAGTCCATTAAAAAAATGAAAACATCTGTATCTGGTGGATACACATCTATATCCCGTACGTCTCCAGCTTTCTTGGGTGCATCAAGCACATGCATTGGGATCAATGTGTCTGCCTCCTCATGTGAGTGCTCACCAATATTGGGATCAAAGACATCTGGTTTGTTGGAATACATTGAGGTTCCATACACAACAACTAAAGTCTTGCTGCTATCTGCATATTCATGGAGTAGAACTATCCCCAAGTACTCTGTTAGTTAGATTTTGTTTCAATGTGAGACAGCAGGGTTTTCAGTGGTACTAATTTGATATTGGTTGAATCCTTGATAACAAACTTGACCGGGTCAACACCGGTAGACCTTTTGCCTTGTGTCTGAGCTTTCAGAGAGTATATATATTTATCAAAGATAACTCTTCCTTCTTCATACTCAGAAATAATTTTATGAATGCTTCGAACAAAGGCTTGTGCAAAGTCATGAAAATTCACCATTGATGGACCCTTCTTGATAGCTTGGACAACTGCCATCGCATTGATAATGCACACATTGTATCGACCTTCCACTGTCTTTGGTACGTTGGGCAAGACCCCTCTAAATTCACTTAATGGTTCCATTTTATATGCTTCGATAGCATGGACAAAGACACTCTTGTCAGCTGGGATGAGGAGAAGGCCGTCTGAGGAGAAAAAAGACCTGGGGATA